GACATTTGAATATGCATTATTTAGTTTTTTAAAAATCCCACATATCCCGCTGCACCAACTCCACTGTATGTATTATGCATGTTTAATATATTCCCTCCTCACAGAATGCAATTAAAAACTTTTTGATAGATATTATTTTCTCAGTTGAATATATGTGACCAACATGTAACCACATTACTGTGCAACCCTTTTTTTGTGAATTTGGCTTCAGAAAAATGTGGCAGATGAAAAAAGAAATCATTATTTTCCAGTTTAAGAAAAATGTTGTTACTTTTCACTCATTTAAAACATTAGGAAACATTTTTCTAAAAGAGTTAATGTCCTCAAACATTAGTTTGAATACTCCGTCATTAGACTGTAAAGTCTGCTTTCTAAAAACAATGCAAAACATTTTAGATAATAGATGTAAGACAACACAATTGTCCAGTCACAGCCTCGTCGGCCATGTTATCTGAAGCACCAGAATCCCATTGAAAACTCCTGTATTTTAAGGATTCTAAACAACACAACTGTCTTCATTTACCATAGATGAGATGATCTGAATCTATGAGACTTTTCTTCACATTTTCTTCTTTTACATAGATGTGTTTCTCATATCAGTAATTTGGTTTGCGTGTTCTCTGAAGCGTTGATTTTAAACCGCGGCCTGCAATCAGATAACTTTGTCCGTCTCTAATGTACTGTCTATTATAGGTGTCTTCTTGATAAACAGATGATAAACAGATGATAAACAGTTTAAATTAATGGCAAACAGAAAACACAGTTCTCTTTATACAGGATGATAATACTGAACCCTCATGACTACAAGGTTTTTGAAACTTCTGCCCGTATAAGTATCACAAATTGTCTTGCTCCTATTATACTGGGATGGAAAGGAATTGTAATTAATTAAATGCATTTTTTTATTTTTCTGCAATCTAAAATTGCACTATAATTAAAGTAAAATAAAATCACTATTATTTTAAAGTTTAAAAACAAGTTGCTCAAAGAGCTAGATTAATAAAGGGACATATTTTCCAGACTATGCCTGTTACCAAGACGTCCCATTTTTACACCCCCACACACTACTTCCCCCCCCCCCCCCCCCCCCCCCCTTCTTCTGTGATAAGGTGACGTGTAGATGAAGAGGACTTAGGATGACTGAACGACAGAAACTTCTGGATGGGGACCTAATTAGGCCCATGCATAGTTTTCTACCCACTCCTAATGAGGAGTGTGTTATGGCCTGGGTGAGCGCCGCGTGTCACGGCGAGGCCTGGGAGTGTGCAGCACTGAGGCACCGACCCATAGTTCCCCCGTAGTTTGCTCAGTAGGTTTTTACACCTGCAAATCCCTGACACATTGAAGCCAGGCTTCGTTTGATGTGCGTTTCTTTTCATGTTTAGAAACAGGAGGGACCGAGGAGCAGGGACCGAGTTGAAAAGAGGCAGGGTTCTTGGGAGGAGAGCTGGGGTCTATTAGAGGTCTTAATAATGTTAATTAATGGATAATAGGGTGTGTAATGAGCTACCGGCTGCATTTTATTCATGTGATTATCTCAACCGCTCTCTAATTCTCTTTATGAGCCCTGTCAAGGGAAGGGAAGCAATCAGGGGAATCACAAACAGACACACACACACACACACACTGACACACAAAGACAAGAAACGCTGTTGACCGACAAAAATCCACCTCTTATTTCATGCACTGCAGCACAGGGCTTTATCATAGAGACAGTTAGAGATTTGGTCCAGATTAGGAGGTGGTCAGAGAGGCAGTGCTTTGGTCAAACAGCGTTTGAAGCCCCAGAGGAGCCCAGCAGGCCGCTGATGACTTATAGGCCTTCTCCACAGGAAAAGAGAGCATTATCAGCCACCAATTAGGCCGAGGGGATGATTTACAGACACACACATATACACACACACTGCAGCGCACACGTGCGTGCTCTGGTACATGGACAAGTATCTGCAGATGCTAACAACAGTTAGAGACACCCACAGATGATTTATGGGAGTTAAACAGGTGGGTCCGACTTCCTCCACCATTATCTCTCCTCCCTGTGGTGTGGGGGTCGTCCACATCCAGAGCAAAGAAGGAAGAAAAAAGGGTGAACATGTGGATATCTATCGCTCTCTCTCTCTCTCCCTCTCTCCCTCTGTCTCTCTCTTGCTCTCTCCCTGTCTTTTCTCACTGTTTCTCTGTCTTTGTTCTGCTTTTCCCTGTCAACTGTTTTAAGGTCTCAGAATGAAAACCTTATTCTCTACAGCACATCAATGTTTCTCAACCACTGTGTGCCAGGGAAATGATCCGCGTGACTATCAGTAATTAGAATTAGTTTATTTTGAAAACCCAACCTGAGATAAAACTGAGTCAATATTTGATCTTAGGTCTGGCTTAATCTGGAACTTGTGTTGGATTTCCAAGAACCTGTAAATAGTTTATTTTAAAAAAGAAGAAGTAGAAGAAAAATGTTCATGTGTTCTATTGTTCATGACTTAAAACTTTTGACATGGATCATGATCTACTCCCACCTGCAGCACCTGACACTTTTCCTGAGCAGACCCAATTCCAAGCCATTTCCACTCATTCTCCCTTAACTCTCTATTGATTCAGAAATCAATAGCTGTCTGACAGCCAGAGCTGTCTGTATGAAAGAGTGCTGGACCGAAGCTGCTGTTTGGTGAGAAGAACCTCAAACTACAACTGGAGGCTGTATCTTCATACATCAGGTTTCATAATGATTGGAAATAAATTAATGAGGTCAGTCTGGAAACATCATCTGCGGCGTTTAAAGAAAAGAAATCAAGTGTGAACCAAAAGCAATCACGGGAGCTTTTCAGTGGAACCGGAAAGATTTTTAAAAGCTGGCTCCATCTGGTTGTTCGTAGTTGTAATAGACTTCTATCAGTGTGTGTTGGAGCTCCATAAACACTATCCAAGAATGATAAGATTCTCATTAAGCCTGTCTTCATTGTCGGCTGTAACATAAAGTCGGCCAACATTGTTTCAATCCTCAGCTACACTTTTTTTTCCCTCTTCCTGGACGGTGTAGAACAAAAGGCTGCCCGGGTCCCAATCAGTGGCTCATGAAAAGAGGGGATCCCACTCAGGTCTTAATCAGCGCTCTGCTTAATAGAGCAACACTTCCCAAATATTATTAACCTCATCTGTCTGCATTAGGCCCTAATGCCCCCCCCCCCCCCCCTCTGTGCAGCAGCTGGTAATTTACATATATATTAATCCGCTTTCTCTTCCCCTCCACAGAGAGATTGTGCAGCGCTCTCAGAAATAAACGCTGCCCTTCAGAGAGTGTGGCAGACACAGGTTAGGAAGCCACTAATTAAATGTCAGACTTGACAGATTAAAATTATGAAATTTAAAATCTGCAAGTGGCTCTTTGTCATTGTCAAATTAAGGGCTGCACTGTGTGATGAAGGGGAAGGGGACGGCGGGCTCTAATGGATTGAAAGGGAATGTGCCTTAGCAGCATGCAGCTCTCAGTGAATAAAGATTTGTCTCTTCTGCCTCAGGTAGCAGCACTGCATGTTCAATTCATCCATATTCTCCAAAGTCTAGAGGTCAGGAGGTCACTACAACACCGGCAAGCCCATCACTGACCGCTCTGTTTGGATTTTTCATTTGTTTAGCCGCACAAATAACTGGCCGTGAAGGCAAACGTTCCAGAAAAGCTATTCCACCTTTGACTTCCGGTATCACTACGCTAAGAACATGGCATGAAAATGTCAGAGCTCATTGTTATCTCCTTCATCCTTTTGAGGATTTAACTTTAAAAAAAGTCATGTGACTTTTTCTCTTCCAACTATTTACAAAGATATTATTGTTTCATAATTTAAAATCTTTTTTTAAAGTCTTTATAAGTCTTTATAAAACCTTCATGAAGAAAAACTGTTACAGAGTCAGGCTAGGGTTTCCACCCGTCCTGTAAAATATGTACTCCTCCTTAATTTAATGTTGCGCTCCCAATTGAACCAATGCGGGGCGCAATTTGTTCCATATTTCCATAAATGTCCAATACACAAGTCTGTCACACACACACGCAAACATCAACACTAAATCTAACAATAATGATCACAATAAAACACAAGGAATACTAAGGCCAGCAAAAAAAAAAAAAAAAAAAGTCGTGCTGCCGCCCTCCTACACTCTTCACTCGGCTCCGGTCCTGCTGTATGTCTGAGCCTGCTGCGTGTGACGCTGTCACGGTTGCCTAGAGACAGACCGACGCTCCTCTCAAAACCCGTGCCTTTTAAAAATGTCCGCTACTTCCGCTACTCCACCACGTCTTCAAAAGCGAAAACTTTTGGAAAAGTACAGACTTGAGTGGAAAGAGGAAAATATATATCCTTGGCTGCACAATGTCTGTAATAAATTACAATTATTACATATATTAGTATTTAGTTTTCTGTTTACAAGGAGAACAGGCTGTCGCCTGACTATAATTACATGTGTTTCCAAATGTTTTTATAAACATCATTTATTATATTTTTCTTCTTCCTCCTCCTCCACCTTTGACCGAGGCACAATCACTTTTTTTTTTTTTTTTATTCTTTTGTGTATTAAGGTCAGAAAGATGCAGCGGAACGGCCCAAACAAAACAAACCTAAAATGTAGTCAGGTGTGACGTCAGACGCTGAAAAGTTTGAGCTCTTCGCTTTAAAACCACCTGTTGTTGGAAGTTATTCTTAATCGCGGCTCGACCTGGTCTGGGCGAATGTCACAGATGGAGAGGTTAGTGACTTTTGGATTTATATTCGCTACTGTTTACGTTTTTACGGAGCCCTGGAAATGATCGGTGAAAGTGAAAGTTTGTTGGATTGTCGTGCTGACATTACGTAACACCATGAGCGCAGTATTTGATACTCATGGGTACGATGTCATTCAAAATTATGAGTACGAATTAGGCCACGTGGCCACGGTTTATGTATCGTGCTCACGTTAAACCGTGGGCATTATGTGGACTACAGAGCACTGTGAAATACACACTGTGGGTCAGATCGAGTTAATTAAGTAAAATAATAAAAATAATAAAAAATCTAGTTGGGGTTTACCATAGTTTGGGTATGGTGCAAAGAGACACACTAGCAACTTTAGTCTCCCAGCATCATTTGGTTATGTCATAGTACTTTCAAAGAAATGCATAGGCGCCTTGTGCCAGTCTATATGGTATATTATTATTATTATTATTATTATATAAATTACATGAGTTAATAAACACGAGTGCACGTTTTAGACAAAATTATACTCACCATCATTTTTAACTTTTGGTAAAAAGAAAACACAAGCATGTTTAAGATAAGTAAGTTAACAGAACTTTTAAGAAATGTTTTTTCAAATGAAACTTTTTCTTAGTTAATTGTTTTGCTCTGCAGAAACTAATTCAACAATTCTGTAAACCACGTCAGAATGTGTTTGAAGAAGTAGGTAACTCATCGAATAACATTTTGTGTTATGTTATTGTTTGAATTACAGCTTCAGTTCAGATGTCTGAAATAAATAGATGCACTTGGATTTCTGCACACGGAGGCCAGGTTGAAGTTGTCCACCGTCAAAGTACGCTCTGGAAACTGAAAGACAAGGTGAGTGATCTGTGGAGTTGGACAACTCAGGTTGTTCATTTAGTGAGAATTATTTGGCACATGTTGTGCTCACACCAAAACTTTAGCACTTAGACTGTTCTCTGACTTTATTTCCCAGATGTGTCATCCTGAAGATCTTCACACAGTAAGGTGTGCTGTTTTTGTTATCTTTTATTCTTTGCAGCCGCCGTGCTGCTGCTGTCCTTTACCGGGCCGCCGTGCCACTGCTGTGTACTGTCTTGGCTGCCATGTCTACCTGTCTCCTGTCCCTTATGTCCTAGTGTAACTCTCATGAACATTTTAGCTTTTAACTTGGAATTCACTGGCATTTGTGATCCTATTCCTCATTTCTGGATGTTTTGGATCTTTTTTGTCAATGCGTATACTGTATGTAAATGTGCTTGACTACTAGACTCTAGAATGTATAATCATGGATATCTGCGGTTAATTATAGATGTGTTTTCTCTTGGCTATTGTTCTGCTTTTTTTTTTTTTGCTTTTTTTTTTTAACCAAGTTACTGATACAGTATGGGATGTTCTGATTGATTTGTTATCCGATTGTGCTTTTGCCAGAAGATGTCAGTGCATAGGCAAGTATTGTGGTTTGGTTGATTGTTTCATTCTAGTATTGCATGAATGATTATTTATTTAATGTACAGTAAAATTGGTCAATATAAATATTATTTATGACTATTTGAACAACAAATCCTACCATGGGATTAACAGTTGATGTTGTGGAGAGAAAAGTTTTATTCTTTAATATTTCTAGTTCTTTTTTTTTTTTTTTTTGGTTTAAAATATTTTTAAACATTCATACTGCATTTGATGAGGGGGAAAAAGGCTTAAATTAAGGTGGTTACTCAGTGGTGAAGGTTCAAACCCATTTTAGCTTCGACTGGGTCTGGAACTATTACTAGCTGCAGACTGTGTAATAAAGCTCATTACAGAGCAGAGGCAGCGACTGCTCAACAAGGATCAAAACACCGGCAGCATAAGAAGTGACAAGATCCAATTAAATTTAATTACGGGAGCTGTAGTTTCATTTTAAGTGACAATTTCGATTAAGGTATCTGCGTGTACTTAAAGCTAAAAGCAGAGGCCAAATTATATCAATGTAACAGTATTAGTGTGCGCACAACCTTGACTAGCTAATTGGATTTAATTAGAGTCGAGCCAAGAGGACTGTAACAAGTTCAACAGGAACAGGTCAGGGTCGTGATGCACTTCTGGGTTGTGTTGCTCTAATCTGTGTGCACGTTGTACATTTCTAATAAATAACTCATCTACAGGGACAGAAGAGATTGTCTCAGTAACAGAATTGCGTTAGTATATTTTATTTTGGGCATAGATTTTGTTCAACAGTTTTTGTATATATTTTGCTTTTATAGTGAGTTTTTTTTTTGTTTGTTTGTTTTGTTTTTTAACCTGCAGAATTTGAAGAATCTGTATCTTAGATCTTAGACAGGGTATACTAAATGTTAATGAATGTTCTAACTATGGGATCTCATTTCCAACCATCCTGAAGCCTTTCTAACAATCCAACCTGTCTACTATACGTCTTTAGTTCATGTACATTACAAACTGTCTCACTTTTCCTACTGAAGTTTTTTAAATTTGTTTTTCTGTCCGATCGTATCCATTCTGGTCACTCCCAAAAACAAATCTCAGCATCTTCAGCTCTGATTCTCATCTTTTGGAAACTGCTACTGTCTCCAAACCATACTTCACAGCAGATCTCACTACTGTCTAGCAGACCTCTGCCTGCAGTTTGGCTGTAATTCTTCCAGCACAAATGACTTTAGACACTCTTCCTCCTTCTGTCCACTCTGCCTTCAACCTCTTCTCGTCTAATACTTTTGTTTCCCATCCATCATTTTGGATGATTAACCTTTATCTACTTTAACTACCTCTACATGTCGTGCATGAAATTACACTGGCAAAAAATCCTATTAATTGTGACTTTTTTTTCCTAGCAATAAGTAGAGTATAACTGCAATGGAGTTTCAGATATCATTGGGTTTTCCCTAACACTTTTGTCCTGTGATTATGGTTTCTCTTTGGGTAAAGAATACCAAAAGGAAATGGAGAATATACAATAACTCTGCTGTTTAAGAAATATTAGATGTTAATAAAATATGAGTTGCTTACATACAGGGCAGCGTCGTTGGCATCTGCACTCTTCTGTTTCTGCACTCAAGACTCCTAAAAGCATTTTAGCAAACCTACATTCATCAGAGATGTCAGTTTTAGGGTGTTTTGTTACTTTAATTTTAGACAACAGACATGGGCTGGAGACAATGGCCTGAAAAATGAAAATGTTTCAAAATTGCCAGGGGTATAAACACTATAAACACAGTTTTTTTCCATTAAGTCTTTAGATGATGGTTTCAAATTTCATTGATTGTTTCAGTGTAAAGCTAAACCTTTGTACGCCTTGAAACCTGCTGGCTGAATCAATTAGGCGTCAGATGGAGGATGCTGCTAAAGATATTTGGTTTTACACATGCGGTAATTATAATGCCAGATTCACGTCTTCAATTTTTTTTTTTTTTTTTTTGAGGACCCATGATCAACCTTAGATAAAATTAAGGAATAAAAACTACTTTTTTTTTCTCTGAGTGCAAATTCTCATTAATGAGAAATGAGTTTCGAAGGAGAGGCAGAGACCCGATTCAAGAATGTGAAGAACTAGAACTAGTCTGTGATTAAACTTTGTACACTATCCACGTCTTCAATGTTTTATCCCATGCACTAAATGACTTGCAGATGCATGATGATGTATGACACCTTTATGAGTGGCTCATGTTGGATAGGTTAGAGGGAACCAGAGTGGCAGCAACTGCAGTTAGCCTAAGGTGCTTCACTTTTGTAGTCCCAGGCTCCTATGTGAGCGCAGACACACAATCTCCCCTTTAGTCAAAGAGAGACAGTTCTTCCACAGGGATGAGGCTCATCTGCCTGCCCTCTGGTGCTTTGCACAGCTTTCAAAGCACCTGCAGCATTTGTTTTTGCAAAAGTGTCTGTCAGTGAAAGATGCTCCAGCCTATTTGTCAACTTGCTGGTGAGCAGGTTTGTTCTGGAAGAGAGGTTTGTTGTCACAAAGCTTTTAAAAATCAAAATAGATGACTCAATTTGAGTTATTTTTAAGACTACACAGTGAAAGCTTATCTTACTCTTATTTTACATCAGTTCATACATTAATTGAAATACTTGTTTTTTTGCCTTCTTTCTGTTAGTTGACACATAATGGGATAACAAAAATATCGCCAATGTGACCCTTAATACATAAGTAAAAAAGGAAGATATTATTATTACAGCCTGTTCAATTGTCCAAAGATCTGAGCTGAGTGTAAATGCTAATGTTGTTGATCTATGAGTTCATCCAATCCCATCAGTACATGTTCTATTGCAGCGGTGGTGTAGCTGGTGTGTATTATTGTTCTGGGTTGAAGTGTAGAGGGGGGGCTCGATAGGTGGGGGGGAGGGGGGGGGTCAGCTAGGTCAAGCCTGACACCATCTTTAACTGTTATTTACTGTGATTCCACGACAAGACAGATACCAGCTCCTGCGACTGCACTGATGTATGTTAAGCACGCTCCAAATTACCCGGCTGATGGATCTATTGATGGCCCATTCCAACCTGTCACCTAGTCTCCATCAGCCTCTCAGTTACCCCCCGCCCCGTTCCTCCTCCTCCCCACCCTGTCTTCCTCTTCTCCCCCACACCCTCCTCACCCTGCATCCCCTGTGGGTCTGAATAAGAAATGAGGGAGCAGGGCAGAGAGAGACCTTTGTAACCTACTGTGCAGACTGCTAAAAGACAATGGCCACCTCTGTCGCTGCTTACAGAAGTTGTCTATTTGAGCGCACAGCTGAAACACACACACACACACACACACACACACAAAGAGTCAATGAGGCATGTATGAAGACACACACATATGCCGTCATCCCTGGAGAGACATGAAGGGCAATGTAGACCATGACCGTGCCTGCTAACAGCCTGGTCTTATCTCACCCTGTCATTTATTATTCTCTGTACAGGCTACGGCTGCAGATAGTAGATCCTGTTGTAGAGGAGATGAAGGTCCCAGAGGTGTCTGTTACAGGTTTTATAATATGCTGTCACCTGTAGGCAACACTGATAATATCTGCTGGGCATTGATTGAATCAAATCCAGATTAACAAGATTAGAACAACCTAAACTGGAATATTGTAGGAGAGCAAACGTCTCTAAGAGACCTGATACTGCTGCAGTCCAACTGCTTCTCCATTCCACAACTTCCCTGAAGGCTTTTCAAAAGAATTTTAGTAACATTGCAGAATGGAGTTGATGATGGGCCCCTTGGTGCCATTAGGCAGAAGACGAGATGAAGATGGTCAATATGGTGTGTGCGTGTGTTGTTGTGGTGTGTGTAGTCGCCGGGTCATTTCCATCAGATAAATACCACACTGAATCTAGTTGTGCTAATTGACTCTCGCAGGCATTACTGGGATTAAGTTAGCTAGCGTCCAAAGTTCATTACACAGATAAATGCATCTCTTACTCTGCTAAAGAGCCCTCATGCAAACATAACTCCCACACAATGTGGACTAAATAGAAAAGGGTTTCTCTTTCACAGTGTTCTCACATCTATGCACTGCCTAAAGACCAACGGCTGTAATTATCCTAATATACTGCATCACAAATACCATTCACTCTTTTGCATGTCATTACTGTATATGTTTAAGGATGCATTGGTTCACAAACGGCTCCCAGGCAGATTTTGTTTAAACAAAGGAATAAACACGTGGGTCGATAATTTGTCTTCCAATGTGAAAGTAATATATTTTAAGGAAATATAGAAAATAAGTTTGGTCTGAAGTATGACTAAACCAGTAGTACAAAAAAGTATTCCTCTTAATATGCAGTACTTCAACAGCATTTCTAAGGAGTGAAGGTCTATTTCGAGTGGCCGGTTTCTTCACATATTAATAATGCTGTAAATCACTGCAGTGACACCTGAGTTTATTGTGGCAAAACTATTTAACAAGTGATTCCCTCTCTCTCCCTCTCTCTCTCTCTCTCCCGCTCCCTCACTCTCTATCTGCAGCGATGAGTGACACAACAGCAGGTGCTCAGAGAACCGTGGAGAGTGCTTTCATTTTGCCACTTATACGACAAATTACCCAGACAATGGACCTGGCAAGGCAGGGCTCTAATTCAATTCCAACTGTTGACTCTGGGCATTCGCCTGCATGCATTCACCAGCCTCGGGAAAGGAGATTCCCCCCCATCAAAAATAAAAAAGACTGAGTGAAGGGGAGAAAAAAGTAAGAGGACGCAAACGCAGTCAAACAAAATGAAAGGTAATATTCCTTATCTGGCCAAAGACAGCAGCAGATGAACTGGCCTAATATGAGCACAAATATGATTTAGGGATTCCATGCTTCAGAGAGCCGACAACTCAAAGTGATTTGGATCAATAGTGTTTGCAAGGCACAGCAGAAATGAAGAGATAAAGAGTGAAAAAGAGAGAAAAGGCAGGAACGAAGGCTGGATGGAAAGAGGGGCATTTCTCTGCGAGTCGAGCAAGTGAGCAGTAGGAGCAGAGCTGTAGTCAAATTTCGCTGGTGTCAAATTAATTTCCGTGTTATCTGGAAATTCAATTAGAAACCCCCCCTCCCTGCCCCCCCTTCGTCCCTCCTATCCTCCTTTGTGAGTAAGAGAGTGTCGGACATCCCAGCGTGACAGATTACACTGCTCAGAGTGCATATCAGGCCGAAGTGTTGAGGCCCACTAATCCGCCCTCTAATTCTCAATTAGTGTAAAATGAGGCCATAAATCACGCAGACAGGCCGATCGATGGAAACGTTGTTTTAGGAGTGATTGGCAGCCTCCCCAAAGGTTACTGTTTAAGTTGGTTTAAGGTTACAGCTCTCTCAAGCTGAAGGCTGACCGTATGCGTGTGTCTGTGTGTGCGTGTGTTGGCTTGGCTTGTGGTTGGGGAGGGCTGGGCGGTTGAACTCAATCTATATGATGCAGGGCCTTGGTCCTTTGGGGATACAGCAGAGGGACAGCACCAATTTTTAGCCCATCAGCCGTCCAATTTTTCTCCTTTTCATACCTGCTGTAGTAAATGAGAAACAAATTAAATTTCACCCCACTATCTCCACAGAAACCATTTAAATCCTTTATGGAAACCAAATTGTCCCCAGACAAATCGCCCCTGGTTCTGTGGAAATACACTATGGCGCTGCAACCGAAATAAATTTGTGTCACTCTGGATATGGCATTGTCTGTAATGCCATTCATTGGGAGATACTGTTGAAAGAGAGAGGGGAATAAAATAAGGGGCACTTTTGGAGGAACAAAAAGGAAGAAAAGGCTCCAGCTCTGGCATTCTCTTCCTTACCCTCCTCTTCATCCCTCTGTCTTTGCATGCCTTCTCCCTTGTGCCCACTTTTCCCCCTGCGTAGTGTTATTAATTTTCGGCCAGAGTTTTTGCATTCATGAGGCTGAGATTGAAATGGAAATGAGGGCTGGCTGAGCGAGCGAAGTGAGCAGCCTCAGCAGTGGCCGCAGCCAAACGAGGCCCCCAGTGCGGCGCACCGGCACCGGCACTGAGCCGACACGTGTCAGAGACAGAGGGGACTCGACTGCCACCATCCAGCCTCTCATTCCCCCAGATTACCAGCCCCTGACATCAATCACTGCATCAGGGAAACAATGCATAAAACAGCCCCAACAAGGGCGATGAAAAATCACTGACAGTGCAGGAGTGGAGGACGAGGAGGGGGAGCACAGGGGAGGAGTGGGGAGAGGGGGTGAGAGGGAGAGAGGCAGAGGAGGGAAGAAAGGAAAGGGAAATAAGACATTGAGAAAGTGACAAAGAAAAAGGACATTCAGTTGTAATTAAAAATAACAACATTAAAATTTTTGTCAGTGAAAGGAGGTTTGAAATAAATATCTTGTAAAACTTCATACTAAATCATACTAAAACTTTTAAAATTATATACAATTTTTATAATCAGGCCTACTGGCCAACTCCTTATGATGAGAACGAGACGCAGGTCGACACAGTGTTTAAAGAAAAACATTAGAATTCTGTAAAAAAGGAATTGTGTGATAACACTACTTACCTAACTAAGCTAAATAATCCACTGGCGCGAGATCTACAACCACGTCATGTTTGGTTATGACCAGTTGGAGAAAACGGCCTTCACAGCAGTGACTTTGTAGAACTGGCTTTAGGGTTTTTGTTGATATTCAATGTAAATCTTGGAAATGACCAGTTGTCTCTGCTGAACTGTGTCTATAATAGTGTAGGATTTACCACAATAAAAACGCCTTAACTTCACCATTTAAAGTACGACATCAACTATGTACCATACATTTGAAGTATTTGTAATCTTAAGGACTTAGGGTCTCTGTATTAAAGGCTCATAATGTTCTCCACGTTTTTTTTGCTTCCATTTGTGCAGTGGCTTCATCACCGCTCTTTAACTGAACACAGCAGTGGTCTGTGACAGGCTCTGTTTCACATCATCAACACCATCATAAACTCTGTCAGAGGATCTGTTGTTAATTCATGAATTGTTTTTCATCAAGTTCACTTACTTTTGACCAGAAGTTTTTTTGTTTGTTCTTTTCTAACCATCATAAACCATCGAGTGCTCATCACAATTGTGTTTTTTAGACAAATCTTTAAAGTGTTCTTTCCCTGATTTGACTTTGGAATATTTTCCGCTGCTACAGTCAACTCTGCTGTTCGCACTTGGAGTCATCCTGTGTGACAGTTGCATCAGACATCAGGTTTATGTTTGACCTAATCAGGACCACTGTTGATGACGTAACTAAAATTTATGAGCCAGTGGAATTCCATTTTAGCCTTGTTCATATGATCTTTAATAACTGTGTGTTCTTTTGATTTATTTTGGGTCTCTCCCTCCCCCTGCAGAGTTGTTCAGTCTCTGCTTTGTGTCCCCTGTAACCAAAAGCTAATGTGCTGAAAGGCTGGTTCTTGTCTACCTGAACTGATCTTGGTCATGAAGAGAAGAGAGTTAGCAGCTCCTGAAGAGAGATGAGAGGACCTCAGGGGGATTCACTCTGCTTCCCTCTGTCTACTGAGGAATGGAAAGAGAAAGAGGTAGAAAGACCCTCAGACAGTGACAGCCCCAACCAAACCACATCTCATAATTTAATTAGGATACGATGACAATCTTTCTTTATAGTCAGTTTTCAGAGGCAGCCAAGGGGCGGGAGGTTTTTTTTTTTTGTTTTTTTTCTTTTCTTTTTTGGGCACATCTATGCCATCTAGTGCTGGTTTCAGTGGAAGCGAGAAAAACTGTCACAAGATCAAAAGAACTCTCCATGTAATTAGAGGCTAATGAGAGATATCCTGTGTTTAGACAGTGTTCACAACACTTATATTAAAGGTAAAGGATACGTCATTTAACATTTTAAAATGAAATGTGATCACAGATTGGCTCCACTTTAACTGTTACTCAGTAAGGAGTACTGAGGCATTTCACCAACTCTTATATAGTATTTATGGAAGTCTAAGTACTAATGTCCACTTGTTCCCTATAAACCCTACATCCTGTCAGTAAGGAAACTGTCAGTAAGGAAACTGTGATTTCTGTCTTCATTGTTTTCTGGCAACAAAGGTACATTTAATTAAAGTGAAATATTGTTGTCCTTCTTCAGATTTAACATGAATAATTAGAACACAGTCCAGTGCACATCCTTCATATTTCACCCTGATACTTGGTGGTACAGCCCACCCGTCAAGTCACAGGAACACCTTCCATCTGGATAAGAATTGCATCAGAAACAGAGCTGTTGTCAGAGCCTTTGAAATAATAATGTGGGAAATGTTAAGGCCTCAGGATGCGACAACACCTCATTACAGCTCTGAGTATTTTTTTGCAAAAGACAACACACGCTGGAATGAATAGGAAACATGAACGACTGTGTTATTTATATTCACCCTTTACATCAAATTGTTGCTTTCCCACAAAAGCCTGAAACAGCAGTGGGTTTGAACTCGGGGTTAATGAAAAAGTCCCCGGCGTCAAGTTACCTGCGCGTCTGCAGGCGAGACTCGTCTGTCGGAACAAACATTTCATTTGTGCGCCACATGTTCCTCAGACGAGACCCACAGTAAAAGTTGTTCAATAAATTTTACCGTCTGTTTTACAGACCTCCCCTTTCCCCCTTGTGTCATTGTTTTTAATTGAAAGTAGATTCTCACTCAGCTATAAACATCATTCCACCCAATCAGAGCTTGTTTAGATCAAATGCTCGTTTCAGTGGGCCGCGTTCTAACAGATGCCTTCAACCTCGCCTTGTCTCCCCGGCTCTCGTACTGTTAAACGCTCTGGTATACTCTTTCAAGGTCGGTGAGATGGGCTGTCACTGTATTCTGTCAGCAAAGCGCAATATTTCTTCAGGAGTTCTGAACCTGGCACGCAGCGGGGTAGAAATGAAAATAAGGCGGTACATAAACGGAGGGAGTTAGCCGTAAATCACCTAACACGCAGAGGAGGCAGCAGGTAGAGGCGCTGTCGGCTGTCACAGCACCTCCCCTGCGAGGCAGCTTGGACACCAGCCATCATGCTTTAATCAAACTGCACATAATAGACATGTCTCGGCTCTTTATGATACACACACACACACACACACTAGCGCGCACTGCTGCACGCACACTCAGCAGAGAAGCTGGCTTTCAGACTCTTCCAGCTTGTGCTATTTAAATGTGACTTATGTTTATTTGTTTGGGTGTCAGAGGTGATTCTTTTGTGGTATCCTTAAAGCAATCTTTGATGCACTAAAATCAGTGGTTCACACACACGCACACTCACACACACTCACGGAGATGCACACTTCTTCAAAGGTCGGTTGTCTTTTCTGTGATATGAGGCTGGTGGTATTTTTTTTTTTTTTTTTTGACATGCTGTGTGTCAAACGATAATGTTATTGTTGGCAAGGCTTTTTTATAGCAGCATAATTTTATCCTGGCTTTTTCTTTTCCTTTCTTTAATTAAACAGTAGATGTCTTGCATGTCTGTGGCTTTGCTGCTAAGTGCGGTTTGAAAGCTAACACCAAACAGATGGGGAAAGATTTGTATCCCTGTGAGAGCACGATTGCACAAACCACTGAAACAACACAGAACTTCATCATAAACTCATAATAAAATTGTCCCAATACATGCAGCTACACTACCGACTGTTTTGAGTGCGCAAGTTAGAAGTTTACTGATTGGATTCAGGTCATGATCATATTTGTAATCCGAATAGCACAAAATATGGCTCTAGGGCCAGTAGTGGTACTTAACAGGATTTACACAGCCTTGATAGGTAATTTAAATTTTCCTTTTTTTTTTTTTTCCTCCCTAAAATGTAAAACGAAACCTACAATTTTATTTTGGATCATTTTCAGAACTAACAGTGGGTCCTTTCTGGAGCTGTTGTCTTTGAATTTAAATTATTACTGGTAAACCAATTGCCATTTTTACTTTATTTTTACATTTGAGCTTTTCTGTGTTGCTCTTTAAAAGCTAAACTTGTAATTTTCATCTGCTCGTCTATACCACCTAATTCCTTTCCCAAGCTACGTCAGCAGTCATTGGTCAAAGACAAAGATACATTCATTGGGGTGTGTTACATTTTATTACAATACTAATTTGCTGAATTTACTAAATACATTTTTTTCACATAGTTGTCAAGTATTGAGACTCTTTAAAGGAACCAACTCTCCTGCTCCAGGTTCTTGAGTCGTGTATTTCAGAACAGCTTGTGTTACAAACCCTCTCCCCAGAACCAGAATTTCAACTTATTTTTACTACTTTGAAAATGTCAAAAACGTTATCAGCCAATAAAGAGGTACTGCATTGCTCTTGAAAGTCCACCAGGCCGTATCATCTTACACAAAAGTAGGACTTTATGAAAGGGGAAAAAGACCTCGACTGCTCTTGCTCCCTTTGACTTGTAGTGATGTGCTTAATGGTTCTCTCATCATGTGGGTGGTTCATTGTAAAGCACTTCTTCCAGTAAATGATTAGTGCATTCACCTCTAAAGCAGCGTTGATTGGCTAGAAGCTCTTCAAACGCAAGTGTCCTCAAAAGGCCTGGAGGTCAAATCCTCCAGTCTGACTTTGAACTGTCTATTTCTCTGTAGATCCTCCACCTGCTGTTGAATTGCTCACACTTGACTGTGGAAACACGAGATTAGTCTGAGAGATCACAACAATTACACTGAAAGCCCAGCAAACAAATCAAATAAATCTTTGCTTTGCTTTGACGACGATGCGCGCATTTAACTTGTTAATGAAGTGTTTTTGTGATGCCACATCACCTGAAAAGTGAGAATGGCACCGCAGAGATGCACTTGTCCCAGAGGGAGGTGAGAGAGACAGATGCAGAGCGGAGTGAGAGCAGACACCGGGGACAGTAAACCAATGCCAATCAAATTACAGCTTCATTACCTAAAAACCCACAAAAGGTGGTTTAAAGTGCATGAATGATAACCCAATATATTGGACATTAGCAGCACAGATTGACATGTGACACAGGGAGTGTGGTGAGGACAGGGACAGATGGTTTATCCTCCTCTTCGTCTCTGTCTCTCTAACATGTTATATCATGTCCAGGGTTGAACTTTATTGATTGGATTCCTGCCCTCATACATGGGTCCTATAGCTTCATGTCTCAGTGCTGCTACTGGCTGTTAGAAACCCAACACTGGAGCACAGGTTGTGCAGCAGCCTGGGAAGTGGCTCATTTGTAGGGAAGACTGAGCCCCATCTGTCATCAGGGTTAGTGTTTTCCTGTTGTCGACCAGAGAGCATTATAAATAACACCAAACACAAAAGGTCTTTTGGAGATCTTGGAAACCTAAGCACAGGTGGACTTTTAGTGTCACATTTGAGAGTGATTCTATCATCATCCACTGGAAAATTAATCACAAAACATCAAAGTTTTATTCATTTTGTAATTTTAATTGTTGTGTTTATGGCAAGGTGTAGAAGTTTGACGCTTTGTCAATAACTGTCGAGTTGGCAAAAAAAATGTGGGCTATTTTGTAGGGATGGTTTGATCAGATACTCAAGATTTCAGGATCAAACATCAAGAAAAAAAAAAAACAAACAACTTAAGTCCATCCGATCTGATACCAAAGCCCAAAGGCTTAAGCTGACTTTAAACAATCACTGCTTACAGCGTCTTGTGCAAAAGTAAGTTACCTCAGCAACGGCACGCTGGAAGAGAATAGAAGGTATCAGACTAGCAACACTACAAGTTGCAGTATCAGTATCAGACATGAGAAAGTTGTATTGAGCCATCTGTAGTATTTTGTGCAGCAAACACAAATTAGCTCCATGACGTGGTGGTCTTTCTCTGTGAACCTGTGTTCTTCCCAAAGTCCCTCTGCTCTGCACTTTTCTAAGGTTGCAGCCTGCTTTAGTCAAATCAACCATTTGCTGTTAGCCCACATTTCGGATCAATGTCTGTCAGAGCAATAATTAGCATGAAATCCTCAACAACCGTAGCCTTGTACTCCTGGAGTGAGGTTCAACCTGGGATGTGGTTTGTCAAATTTGTCAAAATGACATTCGTCATTATGTATTTTGGTTCAGTAAGCACTGTCTCGGCTCTCTGTGGAAATTTGAGTCTTTTTTTACGATTTCTTTCATCAAAACCCAAACAGGATTTTGTCGAGCTACTTTTGTACAAAAACGCATCTCAAAGCTTGTCATCCACAACCAGATAAAGAGGTTGTAAAACTCTTAGATCACGCTGGTTGCAATTTGTTATCCTGATAGCAGTAATTGCTGCGGTTGCAACAGATTAAGTTCTTGTGAGAAAAACTGCAGTATTGAGTGAGTTATTCAGCTGACCACAGTTTAATCACGGTGTGCCCCCCCCCCACCCCCACCCCACCCCATCAATGCTGCCAACAGACCACTTAATTGCACACAGAAGGCAGCGGCAGTGAATGCTCTATCATTGGGGTGTAAACTGTGAAATGATGTTATATGGTGATAACCATCAGAAGTGATCCAGTGTACCCAAAGACCTTTCTCATCAATTATCTGTTATTGGAGCCTCTGTATCCTGTGTATTGTGATATTCGTTTACGTTTGATGAATGTTGCGCTCGGCAGGAGTTTTGGTCCCCGGGATATCTTTCTCCCACTGATGTACTTATTAATAATAAATTGAGTGAGGAATGTGTGAGTTCTGCCTCCCTCCTCTGTGATTATAAAGACAAAGAGTGTTTGAAGTATCCATCTTAATACAAAGACACTTTATTAGATAAAGCTAACTTGCCTAAGACAAATAGTGACACACAGACACTGGAGTATCAGCAGTAATCTCTTCCTTTTCTTTGTCATTTCCTGCGACTCTTTTTCTTTCATTTATCTCTTTTTTCTTACCAGTGATTAATTTATTTGGCCCTTATTTTATAATAGACGGTTCATCGAAAGACAGGCCACAGACACCCGTAGGCATACCACATGGTCTGAGGTGGGTTAGATAAGTTTGTAGCTGTGAAAACCACCACCTCAGTTTATCTGCGGAGTCGTATGTCATTCATCCATATTACCCCATTTGCCACCACCCCTCTGAAATGTACCACCCTCCTGCTGCTCGAACACTAACAATACATAATCTTCATATGTCAGACATTCGAATGAAAATACAGAGTGTTATTTATGCCTTCAACGTACTTCTCGGATATGTGTGTTTTTTCTCCCCCTCTATCAAAGAGCAGTCAGTCACCCAGGCTGTATAAATCACCCTGGAGTTGCACTTTGTGAAAACACGCCGATTTAGTTTGTGCAGCGTGGTCACCCGGGAAGGCAGTAAATTTCCCTAGTAACAGAGTTAACATTGATTCAGATATAAGCACTTGTCCGGGTGTAACAACGATAACCTTTTAGTAGATTTGGAAAACATATTTGACACCCATTAAAATAACGAATGATTTTCCTCCTCCCCAGTGGAAGGCAGAGTGTGTGTGTGTTTGGACAGGAGTGAGGGGTTGGTGGGCAGGGGCTGGGGCTGAAATGGGGCGAGGGGAGTTAATTCACTGATTTCACGGCAGCCTTGCAGCTCTGCAGCTGCCCTGCAAATAAAAAATCACAGAACAAACTGTGCCATTAAATCAAAGTTGAAAAATTGAGTTGGTATTTGACCTCACCGGGAAGCAATAAACCTGACAAAGTAATCACCCTCGATTTCATTCCAACAAACATTTGCTTTTCTTTTTATGATTGATGTAACGCAGTCACTTAATTTCAAACACGCAGGTTACAGAAGTCTTCCTGCTCCTGGAGCAGGTGGACCCAAGAACAGTTTATGAACCAGTGTCATAAGGCTGTATTTATGAATCAGTTAGTGATGGAAAATAAATTAATTATCAACATCTTAAATGACTTATTGCAGCCTTATTGCATTTCCTTACTTGTACTTAGGGCCATGTTCTGCAGTGCACCTTTGACTTGTGATTTATATGTGGGTGGTGACCCAACAATTGGTTGTACTCTAAACTTTGTGGACCACACGACCTACAGTATCCTACGTGTGCCCATGGTGGCGCACATACGCAGAAGCTGCAGGAAAAATGATGTAACTGATGTTACATCATCATTTCAAGTCGATGTTGATAAATATTTAGCATCTTTGCTGTCATGCACGTATAACATTTTCTTTGAGTAGCGAGTTGGCTAATCATGTAGGCTGCATAACACTACCATTTTTCTCTTTTCTCAAATATAGTCACTTCCCATTGGTCCTATATGGGACACATGGACAAACTCTGTCCCTCTATTGCAGGACAGCCTGTAACCACACAGAAAACAATAAGGTTTAAACACCCAGCCTAAAAAAACTAGACATAAATTTTACTAATTGAAGATCCTAGATTGAAGGTTTTGTCCATTTAACAGAATTAAACTTTAAAAATGTGTCTCACTGCTAAACTACTCCACATGCCACAGTCACTGTTTTAAACACATAAAAAATATTATGATTTCATGTGTGCTTTAACAGCCAGCTGCTTGAACATCCCTAATAACTATAGGGATGATGACTCTCTTCTTCTTTCTCCTCTCCTCTTAAATCCACTTCCACTCTTTACTTAGAATTGTTCACTACTAGATTGCTGCTTATCCTTCTTTCAAATAGATTATTCCAACACAGAAGCTGAACACTCTTTTTTTTCTTCTCTTTTTTAACATTACATCAAAAAAGTATGTTGTCCTATTCAGGATTTGTTTTCAACATATCAGCAACTCTGATGTATTCTGCAGTCTGCCTCTGTGAGAAGGAGGGGATGTTGGTGCTGTGTAATAAAGCAAAGCAGCAGACCACAAACCAAAACCATACGGGCATCAAATGTTGTAATAATATATGTTGCACATTGTTGTGGTGTTTTGAAGTCATTCTGTTGTGCTTTAATGAAGAAGGATTTGTGACGCTGAAGGGAATAAACAAGGTCGTATTCTTCTCCTTCTCAGTGGTTTTTAGGACTGTCAGCCTAGCCATGCCTATAACCACTTCAGACTGCACTCTGTGAATGAATTAGTAACATCTACAGTCAAACTACCCTGGAGTGTTTGAACGTCCCTCGTAGCAAAGGGGACATTTAGGAGGAATGCTAGCAGAAGTGACGCTAGAAAGAAGTGTTCGTGTTAATAATTTTACCTAAGAACCGTTATGTGCTTATTTGTATGGATGTTGTTGTATTTCCTCAGCACTGTTGTAGGTCTGGTGATCAGTCAATACAATTAAAGACAACAGACTTTGTCATTAGTTTACTAACACTATATAATAATATATTAATAGAAATAATAATACAATTCAACTCAAATCATAAGCAGTGTGTATTGTAGTGTGTATGCCATACAGAGTGAAGTGGTAGCCAAAATAAGTAAAATAATACTATAAAAATGTACTTGGGAAGTACATACTGTAAAGATTTGTAAAAACATATTTATCAGGAAGAGATTGGGCACTTTGTACAGACTGCTAAAATGTTCTGATGATTTTAAAGTTGAAAATTCGCCCAACGCCTCACCTCCATAACTAAAGCCCTGATTAGCAGGAATCCTAATAAACCGCAGCAATTTAAACATCATGGTCTTAATGAAATACACCTGAGGTCAACATTTTCACACTG